GCCTTGGTGTCAAGCCTCAAGTGATTTCGAAGCTCGCCAAAAAGGGTACACCTCAAGATATTGAAGATATTTACATTACTTTGTGTAGTGTAACATTTCACTTGGTGTAGGCCCTAGTGAAGGGTAGTTTCGAGACCCTTCGTGGTTGGGGACAGTGTGGCACTGTTCCACATCACTGTACCTCGGCTCTTGGGGTTTGTAGGAGCTGGGAGTCATTCCCAACTCGTAACTCTTCCTATCTTGTGTTCTAAGACTATAGTGGCTGCCATAGTACCGTTCGTTCAAACCGACGCTGTGTCGTCAATTCTTTATCAAATCGTGCAATCTAAATTGCTAATTGTAGACGACGTGAAGACGCTCCAGATCCAATTTGAATCAAGTCCTTTGCAGCTGTGAGCAGAACGCTATCAACGTTTGAAGCCGCTGTGCAGAAATCTGTCTGTGCTCTCTATCTTTCGTTTTAGGCACATTCAAGCCTATTGTGACTATAACACAATCTAAATTGCTAATTGTAGACGACGTGAAGATGCTCCAGATCCAATTTGAATCAGGTCATTTGCAGCTGTGAGCAGAACGCTATCAACGTTTGAAGCCGCTGTGCAGAAATCCGTCTGTGCTCTCTATCTTTCGTTTTAGGCACATTCAAGCCTATTGTGACTATAACATGTGTGACAATCGCAATCCATTCCTGGTTCGGTTGGTGGTGAGGGTGGCCCTCACGTGGGCTCGCCACGACTGCTGGTGGACGTGAGTCAGACACTGTAAGGCTTAGTTAGTAGGGTCGTGGCGGGTTGTGGCGGGTGGTAGAGATTGGTGGAGGGTGGTAGAGGATGGTGGAGGGTGGTGGCGGCTTACGTGGGCATTCCAAGGCTGCTGGCGGGTATGCCGCTCTTCCTGCCTGTCGCCCCTCCATTCCTCAGCCTTGGCCCACAGTCGCCTGCTGCAGCTTCCAGTGCTGCCACTGGCAGTCACTCAGGTGATAGGAAGGGGTGTGCATGGTGGTTGAGACGCAGCAGCATCAATTGCAGAGGCAAGGGGATTCGTGGCACCAATGCCAACAGGTGCCCAAGTGGATGCACAAGCAGCGGACAAAGCAGCAGGAGAAGCAGCGCGGGAAGCAGCGAGGGAAGCAGCGCAGGGGGTATGGGAGGAGGTGTTGGGGCAAGTTGTGGCCCTGTTGCTGCTTCCAAACAACTAATTGCCCTAGTCTGACCGCATGAAGACTGGATTTGTCGCTGATTGGTCTTATTAGGTGCTTTTAGACGGCGTATGTCTACTGTACCACTCCCAGGAAGATGCTTTGCTCGATCAAGCGCGCTTTTGGCCCGAGAAAGCAGCTACAGGCGGTGGCACGGCGAAGGGCAGGACTGTGGGGGGGGTGAAAGGGATGTAAGCAAGCAGTGTGGGTGGTTCCTCACAACTTTATACCCTAGCCCGATAGAGCCACTTTGCAGCTTGCTTAGAGTATGATTAGTCAACAGTGGTTATAAATGACTCGAAACACACATCATACACATACAGAGATGTAGATGTACATTGTATTGGTGCATGTTACCGTATGGCCCCGGATATAGGCGCCGTCCGATTAAAGGCGCCGGCGCCTCTATCTGGAGCATGGCGCTTATGGCCGTTCCTCGATTATAAGCGCACCCCTATTTGTACCCGTACTTATTATAAGCGCATACCTAGAACATTTTTTTTTTTTTAACTAAAACAATTACCGTAACATCTACATGCACTATTCATTAGAAATTTAGCACTTTGCGTACAACATCCTACTTCTAACTCAATGAATAGGCGTTTACAAAGGCCTATCTACCAAGGAAGCATCTACTCCTCCTCGTCAGACTCGGGCTCCTGGCATCGGCCAAAGAAGCCATCGGCGATGATGCCGTCGTCGACATCCACTTCCGCGGCCAACTGCGTCCGCCTGTGCGCCATGGCGAGGTTGTCCTCGCTGCCGTCAAGCGCGTTGCTGATGCCACAGGTGAGGAAGGCGCGCCTGATGAGGTCGGCGGGCACTGCCTTCCAGGCCCGCGAGATCCACCTCAGAACCACCGCAGGTGGCGGCTTCTTGAGATTGCCTGCAAAATCACAAAGAAACGACGGTGATTAGGGCAACCAGGGGGGGATTATAGCAACGTGCATGCCGTACCTAGAAACCACGGTCTCACCGTACCTGCTGCAGTCAGCTGTTCCTGCCCCTCCGCTTCGAACCACTTCTGGTACTGCTGACGGACGGAGGCCTTAAAACTCTTGTTGACGGAGACATCGAGGGGTTGAAGCTCCCCCGTACACCCCGACGGGATGATCGCCGGCACGCAGTTCATCTCGCGAAACTTCTCCTTCACAGCCTCGGTGAGGTGCCCGCGGTAGGAATCCAGAACCACCATGGAGCTCCTGGAGTGCCGACCGAAAGACGGCTTCAAGAACGGCTTGACACACTCGTCGAGCCAGCGGATAACGCCCGCGGCGTCCATCCACCCGTTCTCGTGGCACGCCACGACCACGTCTGCACAATCGGGTATTGAAACAAGAAATTAGTGAAAAAAAAAAAACATTAAACATGTGCGACGCACGTCCAAGAACCTCACTTACCAGGCGGAAAGTCGCCCTTCGGCAGCGTCTTCCTCTTGAAAAAAACCCACGGCTTAAGCTTGGCGCCGTCCGCTGTGCAGGCCAGCATCACGGTCACGCGCTCCTTCTGGTACCCGGCACTCCTGGGCACCGAGCGAACGCCAGCTTGCTCAACGGTCGTGGTGGCGGGCATCTCCAGCCACAGAGGCGTCTGGTCGGCGTTGATGATCCACGTGGTCTCGATGCCGCGCTCGCGTCGCTTGTCTCGAACGAACTGCCAAAAGTTCCTGCACTGCTCCGCGACATCTGCGATACGGTGGGAGACAGGGCGATACACTCGGGTGCAATTAGTACATCACATGGGTTAAGCACACAGGACTATGCAAACGAGGGCTTACGAGCGGCGGTTTTCTGTGCAACCCTTGTCTTCATGCGAACGCTTAGATTCCAGCGCTTCCGAAACCGTTCCGACCACCTTTGACTGCCCTTCCACTTCTCTTGAGGGTAGAGCTCCTTCATAAACTCCTTCGACCACTCCTGCAGGCGGCCGACCGACACGGCAGTTCCTTTGCGGCGCCACTCTAGGAGACGCTCATACACCTTCATCTCCATCGGTCGGTACCACGACGATCTCCCGCGACCGTGCATCCGCTTCCGCGCGGAGTGAGCTTCCTTCAGGAAGTCCGCAGAGCGCTTCCAGTTGGTGAGGCACTTGCGGTGTATGCCGCTCTCGCGGGCCAGAGCACGCACCGAAACCGCGACCTGCAGCAGCGCGACGTACTTCAGTTTCTCGGCGGCGGTATAGGCCTGACGCTTGTGATCGTTGAGCTTATGCCTGGGAGAGGGGGGGCGGGCATCACGGTTCTGTGTAGAAGGGTGGGGTCGCTTGCGATTAGTAGGAGGGTAGGTAGGTATCGGCAATTTCTCAGGGAGCCCGTCGCGTGACCAGTACTCAACACCGTCGTCCTCGTCGTCGCCCGGCGCACCCTCGGGAAACACATCCTCAGCGGTGCCGGCCTCTGTGCCAGCCTCCGTGCCACCCTCGGCGCCAGCGCCGCCCTCCTCGCGACAGTCCTCCTCAGCCTCAGGGAGCTCGTCGTCGGCGCCGACTGCAGATTCGTCCCACGTACAATCGTCGGGCCGGCCCCAGCGCTGTCCTGGCACATACTCAACAGCCACCCACTCATCTGAGGGCTTGTCCGACTCTGGCTCCGAGAGGTATTCGTCGAACGACGATGGTTGCAAAAGCGTGAGCACGGGCGGATTCCCCGTGTGAATTGAAGAGACCGGCGCAGGTTGAGGAGGAGCAGGAGGCGCAGGAGGCGAAGGAGGAGCAGGATGAGCAGGCGGAGCAGGCGGCGCTGGAGGCAGCGGTGGCTGTGGTGGGCTAGGTGGGACACGGGAGTACCATCCGTCCTCGTCAACTACAAAGGCGGGCTTCCGGCTTGGTTTTTTCTTGAACAAGAAATGAGTGCCTGAGAATTCCGCCATGGCTTCCGCAGCATGGCGGGAGAAAACAAGAATCTGAAGGTGAAAGTGAGAGAATGGGAGAAGAAATGAGGGTTTGGAGTGGACCCCTTCTGGTGTGCGCCGCGAGATCCTCTTCAGGGATAGTCGGGTACCCCCCTGCCTAAACCCGCAGAGGAGGGAATCGCGGCACGAATCTGCTGCACTGGCAGGGAGATTCCACCCCCTTCTCGAAGGTTCGGGTGAAATGTTCCACCCTGGCAGCGCATGACATTGCTATTGGGCCGCACGGCAGAATGCACGTCATCGCTGCCAGGTGCGTTGCTCCGGGACAGGGTTTGTGCGGTGGGAAATCGAGTCGCAGCTGTTTTTTGGCGGAATTTCATGCACGATCCCATGCGCACTTTACATGGCCTTGTTCGCCATATTGAGGGCTTCAATTTCGTACCTTTAAAAACAAATTTCATTTTTGACATCATATAAGCGCCGGCGCTTATGGCCGTTACTCGATTACAAGCGCCACCCCTAAAAAAACCGATTTTATTATAAGCGCATATGCGCTTATATCCGGGGCTAGACGGTACTATATGCACAAGCAGGAATGTTTGTATTGGTGCATGTTACTATATACAGTGAAGTAATACGTATTCCTGCTTTACCTTTCAAGCACTTGCACACTTTCAAAATAGCATCATGTTAATTGCAACATCATACACCCCATTCCCCCGTTCTAGCAATGTGTGTTTTTAAGTATGATGCAAGGTGTGTATACCGTAGATGGTGTGGTGCTGCTGCGATGTAGCCTTGAGTCAGGGGGAAACCCTGGGGGAATGATATACCGTACAGTGGAAGTAAATTTACTTCCAAAGAGTTTCTGGGTCAGCAAACCAATGCTGGAAAGAAGATCAATTGAGTAATGGAACCTGAGTATGCTTGCATGCGCGGCGAAAGAAACGTCACCGGTGGAGCATGGCACATCCGTCAGTAGAGATGTACTCGAGCATTCTAAGCTCAGATATGTCGTCAGGCAGAGCCTCCAGCTGCTCGCAGTCCTGGATATGAAGCTTCCTCAGTCTGCTGAGCTGGGTAAAGCTAGGCGGAAGAAGACGAATACTGGTGTCTCTGACGTTCAGCTCATGCAGGCAGGAGAGCTGCGTGAGGGAAGCAGGGAGATGCGTGAGGGATGAGCAGTGGGATAAGTCCAGCTTGCGCAGCCTTGAGAATGCCCCAAAGGGGTGCGGAAGAGAAGACATTTTTAGCGATTCGATTTTAATGGATGTCAGGTGGTGGAGAGTGGTGATGGCGGCAGGCAGCTCTGGGAGTTGAGCAGTGATGTTCAGCTCCCGTAGCTCTCGCAAACCTGAGCCCCCAGATTCCACCAGCGAGTTCAAACTGCAGGCGTCCCTGAGTGCCAAGGTGCGGAGGCGAGGAAGCCGGGTCAGCGCGGACAGAGACTCCTCTGCACCTTCTTCGAGCACCAGCTCCAAGTGCCTCACACCGGAGAGATGCTCACTGATGACCTCAACACAAGCTGCATCCACAGTGCCCAAGCACACTTCCTTGAGCCCTGTAAGTCTTGAAATCTCTGGCAAAGACCACGTATGGTGATTCTCTAAGTACCATAGAGCCTGGAGGCTGATTGGCAGAGCCTGAGGGGCTTCGATCAGCCGCCAACACTCCCGCAGCTCCAACTGCGTCAGGCTGGTAAGCCTATCCAGCCTCCTGGGAACCGACACGAGATTATCACACTCTGTAATCCTCAGCACTCGAAGGCTGACAAGCGACGTCACAAAACCCGGAAGCTCTTTAAGGTATAAGTACTTTTGAATGTGGAGCTCCTGCAGGTTTGTCAGCTCCCCCATCCCCTCTGGAAGCTCAATATGCTCCAACCGAACCAGCTCCAACCTGGTCAGCGACGCCAGCTGCGCTAATGGCGACAGCAGCTGATGTTTGCTGTTATAGTCGAAACGAAAGGTGTGGAGATTGATCAGGCCGCCCAAGTCTTCTGGAATGTGCAGGATGGCTGACCCTGCAAAGCTCAGAGACTGGAGGGCTGTGAGGCGACCAAACCCTGCAGGTAAATCGTTCATCTGTTCGCACCAATCCAGAAAAAACGCCTCCAGGGATGCGAGTCTGGTGAAGGAAGCAGGGAGAGTGCGAAACGGCAGCTGGTGCAGCACCAAGGCCTTCAAGGCTAAAAGATGGCCAAAGCCTTCCGGCAGAGTGGACACGCTGCAGTAGGAAACGGTCAAGCTCTCCAGGCAGGTGAGCGACGTGAACTCGTCAGTCAGGTCGCTCAAGTTTTCGCATTCAATGATGCTGAGCTCTTGCAGGTGCGGCAGCACCTGTCCAATCTTGCTTGGAAGCCGCTCCTGGGTGAAGCAATGGCTGAGGTGCAGGCGTTTCAGGAGTCTGAATGGCGATCCAGGAGGGAAAAAAGCGGTGAAGTGCGCATCATCCAATCCGAACTCGAGCGATTGGAGAGAAGGGAGCTGTGCGAGAGAGAAGGCGGGCGAATGTGCTGAAATCACGCGAATGTCGTCAGGCAAGGCGAGGCGGGTGAGGTTGGTAAGTTGATGGAGGCTGGAGAGCTGGTCGTAGTGAAGGGAAGAGGTTTCTATTGAAACTGCAGTGAGAGACGAAAGGGCGCTGAGATCTGAAGACTTTAAGACGAAGGCGGTGGACAAGACGAGGGTGCGCAGATGCTGAAGCTGAAAGAACGAAGCTGGTGGGAAAGATTTTCCTCAAGACAGCACATCGACAGGTGCTCCAGTTGAGAGCAGTGACGGAAGAAAAAGTCCAAGCCCGATTCTGTTATCACGCAGCCATTCCTTTCGTGCTGTCCCTCGACCTCGACCTCCGTCAGCATCCCCACGTGCAGCGCTCTCAAACCCAGGGCACGAAACGGCGAGGTCAGCGAGAAAGGCGTCGTCCAACGTTTCAACGCTGAAATCCGAGAGATGCAGATGGGTCAGCCGGGGAAAGCATGCGACAATCATTTCTTTCTGCGCGAGGCCTTCCGCCAAACCTGCCGTGCGCGCCCAATGAGCCCTCGAGGTCCGCCTGATGCTGATTTCCCCCCCCCGCTGAATTCCCAAACCAAAGCTGGTTTCGCTTGGCAAAACCTAGGTTGGGAACTAGCAGAAATATTGATTTTGGGACTTGCCTGCAGATTCTGGGGTGGGGGGGGTTGGGTAGCGATTCGAGAGCTACGTACGGCTTGGTCTCAATCACCAGCCTGTAGCGCTAGTAGACCGCACTTGACCTTTCACAAATCTCTTCACTCTCAAATCTCACAGACTGCTACTTCGTCAATTCCTGCCCAAACCCCTCCCGCCAAACCAAAACCTGTGACCAGACCGGACCAAACCAGCCCATACCAGAGCCAAACCAGACCAAGCCAGCCAAACCAAACCGAACCTAACCAAACCAGCCCAACCAAACCAACCGAACACAACACAACCCATAGCTGCAAATGAGCCCTACTCCACCCACCTGCCATTTTTCGGCATTAGTTGCTCTCGGTAGTGGTGGCTCTCGGTGGTGGTGCCTCTCCAAACCCCTTCCCTCTAATCCCCTTTCTCTTCAATCAACCCAACCAATTTGAACTCAACTCAAACCAGCCCAACCCTTCCACACCACACACCCCCGCCTCTTGCAAAGTGGGTCTCTGGAAGGTGAATGCAGACTTCCCATGCCAAGCCAACGCATTGCTCGCACTGCCGTCTTACGTTTAGCACGCGTCGCCAAAGTTTCCAGCGTTGATTGGCTCAATATCATGTTATGTGGACAGTGGTCGGCGCAAAAATTGCACAGCATGTGCTGGTGCATCTTCCGACGTGGAAACTGCCATGTAGGACACGTTTCGGGCGGATGTCGGACGACCACTCACCTCCAGGAACACTCACCGCCATGTTCTTCAAAACTCAGATGGTATGCCTTCTCTTTACCTATTCCTTTCACTTATATTCCTCGCTTGAAACGCACTTCTGGCTTCATTCTAATCTTGGTAGTTTTGGCTCCTCTGGGAGCAATTTCGGGAAGCTAAAAGTCGCTTACTCGGAGTCGCGCGCCGTTAATACATGGCGGATGTAGATTATCCTCGAGTCGCACGTTACATCACCGTTTTTCACGGCGCGTTGCGCGCTCACGTTAGTACGACAGCGTGCCTCCTCCTGCTACTCCTTTACTGCTCACCGACGATAGCTTTTGAGCCCATATCGAGGCAGGTTGTATCGACGCTGCATGCCAGTCGCCGCGGACGGGGACTCTCCGCATGGATGGTTTCACCTCGCGCGGCGCAACTTCGCGCTGCGCGGCGGGCGGAGAAAACATTCGGGGGGGGAACCAGCGGCGGGTACAGCCAGTCAGTGACTTCAGGGTTGCGCGTATCCTCTGCAGCCGCGCCGCAGGCTTCGGCGGCTGACACGGCGGCTCTCAAGGCTATCTTCACCGCCGCGCTGGTACCTATCCCGGCGAACCAGCCGAACGCGTGCACGTGGCCCGGCGTGACCTGCATTGGCAGCGCTGTTAAAGAGCTATTCCTCTTGAGCGATGTCGACCCACTCGTGCGTCCCCCCCCACCCACGCCTCGCCTTTGCAACCGTACTGCGCGCGAACCTGGTCAAAAGTTCCCCGCAACCCTTTCCGATTCTATCGGCCAGTTATCGGGCCTCGTCCAACTCACTCTGAAAAGTCTCTGGCTTGCTGGCTCTTTCCCGCGATCGTTTTCCCAGCTTAAACAAATGCAATCCCTCGACCTTAGCTATAACTGCTTCGCTGGTCCTCTTCCTGTCATTTTTAGTCTGCCGAAGCTGACGGATGTGAACGCCGTCCAAAATTTCTTCTCGGGCGGGTTACCGCAACGTCCTGCTGCGTACGCGGCGGCTAAGCTGTCCTTTGTGAATCTCGCGATAAATAGGCTGTCCGGGCCGATCCCTACTGCCCTGGCGACGCTGCCGAGCCTTGAAACGTTAACTTTGTACGTGAATCGGCTATCCGGGGAATTTCCCCTTGCTCTGCTCAAGAGGTATTTAATCCTTGATTTAGGTGATAACCAGCTTTTCGGCGACCTGAGTGGGCAGAAAATAATGCCCACAACCTTTCGAGTACCTGCGAACAGGCTGACCGGAAACTTCAACACGATGAAATTCAGCGAGAGCTTGACGGTCATCGACGTTTCACGCAATTTGTTTTCGGGCTCATTCCCGCAGATCCTGTGCGATCGGGGCAGCGAGATACTAATGTATTTTTCGCATAATCAGCTGACAGGAGCCGTTCCAGCAAATTGTTTCAAGTCCGGAACTTTTTCGAATGGCCTCATTCTAAGCCACAACAAATTTTCGGGCAGCTTGCAGCCGTTTTCGAATCTGCCCGCGGACATCACTTCTCTGGACCTCGGATTCAACAAGTTCACAGGGAGCATTCCCCGAGGCCTCACCAATTTACCCCAGCTTCAATACTTGGACCTCGGGGGAAACGCTCTGACAGGTGAGCTGACTGGAAGAAAGGTGATTGTTTTCTCCCGTTGAGCTTTCTGTTTACTCCTCTTACCCAGTCCTTTCATTACGCTTTTGCTGCACCATCCCTCAGGCCCCATGAGTTCACTTCCTCCCCGCACCCCTCAGGCCCTATTAGTTAACTTCCTCCTATCATCGCTTCCCCCACCCCTCAGACCCCATCCCCGCTCTCCGCAAAGGTGAGCAGACCCTCACCTTCCTCAGTCTCGCCTCCCACTCCTGCTCTGTTTCACTCCTCCCTATCTGCACCTCTTACTGCTAACACTTCCCTGCTTGATTTGACTCTTCGTTCATCCCTACTCCATCCCTGTGCTTGTTCCTACCTCCAATCCCCCCCACCCCTCAGGCCCCATTCCCACCTTCTGCCAGGAAGGGCAGCAGCTCACCTTCCTCAATCTCGCTTCCAACGCCCTCTCCGGCCCGCCCACCCCGCTCTCCTCCCCCTCCTGCTCCGCCTCCCTCGCCTCTCTCAAGCTCGCCTCCAACCGCCTCTCCGGCCCCATCCCCGCTACTATCAGCTCCTTTACAAACCTCGAGCGCCTGCGCCTTGACAAAAACTCTCTTACAGGAGCGATTCCAGCCGGTGTGAGCAATATTAAACACCTGCTAGGACTCGGATTGTCATACAACAACCTATCGGGAAAAATGCCCTCGGTTTGGCCAGGAGGCATACGGCAAGTGCTGATGGCGGGGAATCAGCTGTCAGGGGCTGTTCCGGCTGCTCTGAGCAAGCTGAAGCGAGGGTCGTTCAAACCAGGGAACCCCGACCTGTGTGGGACACCACTGCCTGCTTGTGCTTAGGACCACCCCTGCTTGTGCAAATGATCACCCTACCCTCTTCATTGTTTGAGCAGTTTTTATAATTCACAGTTGCGCTATCCGTTCATCCCGCAGTTTTCATTATTCACAGTTGCATTGATATGTACTTGAAGCAATCTGAAGTGTCCTACCAGAACATGTTAAACAGATTCGTAGGCATGGCAAAAGTGCGTTCTTGTACAATAAATGAATGCTACTGTAATTTTGTCTCTGTTTGGTACATCTACACAGTATTTGGGTTGTTCACTAAGGCAAATCATTCACAATAAAACAAACAATCTCAACGTTTCCTTTCCAGACTACCGTAGTTGACCTCCTGCAACAACTTGAAAGTTCCGATCCAATGAGCATCCATGCTCCCTGCACATGCACCAGTTTGGTCTTGATCGCCCCTATTGCCATGCACAGAATGTACTGCCCCGATAGCACCTGCACGAGGCCACATGGGCGTGCCAGTTCAAAGGGTTAAGTGTCCTTGAGCTCTCAGTTGCCGCCCCTATTGCCATGCGCAGCGTGCACTGCCCCAATAGCCCCTGCATGGGGTCCCAGGGACGCTGGTTGGAGGAAGGTCAGGTGTCCCCCAAGCCCTCAAATACCGCCTCTAGTGCCGTTCTCAGCGTGCACTTCCCTGATAGCACCTGCATGGGTTCTGAGGGAGGCTTGTTGGAGGAAGGTCTGTTGAAAGTAAAGGGAAGAAAAGGTGTGTTGACTATCGAGAGAATTGGGTACAAGTAACAAACCGTATACCCTACATTGGCTACCCCACTACAGCCTACATATCATTATAACATATACATATAGTTTGACACACCCCCATAGGCAAAGTGGGGGAGAACAAGGGGTCACAAGACCTGTCAAGAAAAGCAAAGCAAGCTCGGGGTGGATCACAATGTCACCACACACACCGAGCACAAGCAGAGGCCCACAAGGCCAGTTCACATGCAGAGGTATATATGCAACAACAGCAGTATAGTGATCGCTACCTAGCAAGAGTAAGCATGCAGGTATATATATGTAGATCGCAGTACAAGCAAAGTCTACAGCAAGTGAGGAAACGTAGCCACAAGGCCTAACAAAGTACAAAAGCGCTGATGATCACCAGACGGAAGTGCCTTGTGAGCAAGACGAAGCTGACCACGCTGCTGCAACTCTCGAGCCAGGAAGTAACGCAGAGCGATGTGCTTCGTTCCGTGCTCCAGTCTGTGCTCCTGACACAAGGCAATGGCGGCCTTGTTGTCTACGTACAGAACTGGAGGAGAACGATGCCGCTCCCCCAAGTCGGTCAGCAGGTAGGTAAGCCAGCGTAACTCCTGTGCAGCCATGGCTATGGCGTAGATCTTAGCCTCACAACTGGAGCTGAGAACAGAAGACGAGCTAGTAGACCGCCAAGAAACAGAACCAGAGCCAAGGCTGAACGTGTCACCCTGTGACGACCGCTGATTAGCCTGGTCGTCGACTCAAGAAGCGTCTGAGTGTCAAGTGAGGACAACGTCACCCCGTCCTCCAAGCACGAGCCCCATGCCCGACGTACTGCACAAGTAACGCAGTACCCTCTTCGCAGCATCCCAGTGCACCTTTCGGTGTCTACCAGGAGCCAAGTAGCGTGCTAGAAGGCCAAGAGGGTACGCGAGGTCAGGACGAGTGCAGGTCATCAGGTACATGAGGCAGCCCACTAGCTCTGGATACGGACCACTCGGCTCTACGGACTCATCCGAAGGCAGAGCTGAGAGCGAGTGACCAGTAGCCAGAGGAGTGGACTGTGGCGAGGAGAACTGGAAGCCGAAGTGCTGAAGGACCTGCTGCACCATGTGTGACTGAGTCAGGGTAATGGTGCGGCGTGATCTGTCCCGGGTGATCTGCAAGCCAAGGTAACTGCGCAGCTCACCCAGGTCTGTGCACGTGTGTCTCTTCTGCAGCTCCGACTTCACAAGAGCGAGTGCCTCCGTGTCAGCAGTGGCAAAGACCAAGTCGTCGACGTACACGAGGATGTAGAACGGCGGCAGCGAGGTGTCGGTGCGCAGAAACAGCGACGGGTCAGCAGTAGAAGGGGCAAACCCAAGAGCCGCAAGTGTCGTCCTCAGTGTGTCGTGCCACTCACGAGGCGCCTGACGGAGACCGTAGACTGGCCGGCGGAGGCTCCACTGGGTACCAGGAGGGAACGACCCAGTGAAGCCAGGAGGCCGGCGCAGCCAGATCTCCTCGTGCAGACTGCCCTGTAAGAAAGCTGTGCTGAAGTCAAGAGAGTGAAGCTCGTAGTCACGCTGAGCAGCAACGTGCAGCAATACCGAAAGAGTGGTCATCTTCGGGGTGGGGGAGAAGTTCTGGAAGAAGTCAACTCCCTGTCGCTGACTGAAGCCTCGTGCAACGCAATGCGCCTTGAAGACAGGCGGAGAACCCGGCGGCCGCTTCACCCTGAAAATCCACATGCCATCGACGATGTTCGCCCCAAGAGGGGGGACCTCGTCGACGTAAGTGCCTGTGGACTTCCAGGATGCCATCTCTGCGTCCATGGCTGCCTGCCACTGAGAGGAGTAAGGACCTGAAATCGCCTCTGCGTAAGAGCGCGGGGTGGGGATGTCCAGTGCATCCGGGTCTCCCTCAGGGGAAAGCAGCATGGCCACGAGATGAGGTGCAGCGGCCGCAAGACACTCAAAGCACGGAGTCAGGCGGTGGCAGATAAGAAGGTGACGACGGAGCGAAGAACAGGCGCGGCTGCGCAGTGCCACCAGCACAAGTAGCTCCAGCGCCTCCAGCAGCTCCAGAAACTCCAGCGCCAGCACCTCCAGTACTAGCACCTCCAGCAGCTCCAGAACCTCCTCCTCTAGCGCCACTAGCGCCAGCACCTCCAACACCTCCAGAACCTCCAGCGCCAGCACCTCCAGTACCAGCACCACCAGCAGCAGTACCCCCAGAACCGGCACCTCTAGCCAGCCTCAGTGTCCCCAACAGCAGCACCCCCAGAACCTGCACCTCCAGCTCCAGGGTCTCCAACCTCAGAGTCGACAGCAGCACCTCCAGGTCCAGCAGTATCTCCAGCCCCTGTAGCTCCAGTACCTCCAGTACGAGCACCTCCGGGACCAGCGGCTCCAGTAACTCCAGTAGAAACACCTCGAGTAGCAGAGGCACCAGCTCCAGCGCCTCCAACGCCAGCGCCCCCCGCAGCAGGCCCCCCAGCTCCAGCAGCGCGACCCTGACGGCGAACGTACCACTCACGCAGCTGCTGTGGGGAGAGAGGGAGACGACGACGAGAGCGCAGCGGAGGCACCAGCGGAGCGACTACGGAGACGGCCGCTCCAAGGAGACTGCTTACCAGACGCCTCAGTGCCCCAAGGCGCAGCATCCCCAGACTCAGTACCCCCTGGCTCAGCACCTCCAGGCTCCGCACCCTCAGGCTCAGCACCCCAAGGCTCCTCACGCTCAGGCTCAGCACCCTCAGGCTCCGCACCTCAGGCTCAGCGCCCCCAGGCTCCGCAACCCCAGGCTCAGCACCCCCAGAAGCAGCACCCCGAGCAGGACCACCCCCAGCAGGACCTGAGTCACCAGTGACCTCAGCCGGCTCAGTCAAGGGAGAAGGGTCTACCTGAGACACCCCTGAAGGTGCAGGACCTGGAGCGGGGAGGGGGTCTACCTGGGGAGGACCTGGAGCGAGAAAGAGCGGCGGGGGGGGGGGGGAGAGGGGCAGTGCGGTAGGGAAAAAAACGGTAAAAGGGGACCGACTCGTCAACGGTGACGTCCTGAGACGCAAAGACACGGCGCGAGGCGGGGTCGTAAAACTGCTAGCCAGGCGCGTCAGGGGGAAAGCCAAGGAAGACGCAGGGAATGGCGCGAGGGGAGCGCTTGTCCGCAGTGGTATCGTGGACAAAGGCACGAGCACCCCAGACCCGGAACCGCGACGCATCGCCAACCTCCCCCGTCCAACGTAGTGTGGGCGAAGTCTCCGGAACGGAGACACGTGGCCAGAGGTTGAGCTGATGCGCGGCGTACCGGACCGCAAACGGCCACAGAAAAAAAAGGGCAGCCGCATGGATCATGGAGGTAGGAGCGACCTCCATGACTAATCCAATGCGGTGCTCAGCATCCCATTCTGCTGCGGAGAGGCCGGAAGCGTGAACGTCTGGTGGATGCCGTGCTCCTCACAATAGGCTCGCAAGAGATCAGAGGAGAACTCACCACCTCTGTCAGAGTGCAGACGCAGGACAGGAAAGTCCGACCCGAACCGCTCGCGGAGCTGGAGACGAACAGCGCGGATCCAGGGGATCAAAACAGCAGGGACATCCCCCTTGCGCTGCAAGGGGAAGACCGTGGTGTAACGCGTGTAGTCGTCGACTACCAGCAGGAAGTACCGCTCGTGGCCCTGTCCAGGGACGCGGGCTGGGCCCCACATGTCCAGGTGGAGAGTCTGCAGTGGAGCCTCTGTGGGAGGGAATGAGGAGGAGTGAGGAGCGGCGCGCTGCCGCCCCTCGACGCAAGGAATGCAGGGCGGCGCAGGCGAGGGAGGGAGGGAGGGCACAGACCGGGGAAGACCAGAGACCAGTAGGCGAGAGTTCATGCCACGAAGGCGAGGCAAGGAGGGGTGACCAAGGCGGTGGTGTCAAAGGAGAGTCTGGTGCGACAGGCGGCGACATTCACACTGGGTAGCTACCTGAGCGGACGCGTACAACTGAGGAGACAAAGGGGTGTAGTGCGACGCAGTGGTGAGGGTGTACAAATTGGACCCAGGCGCACGTGTGAACGTGGCTAGGTGGCGGCCAGTCCGAGAGCACGTGCAGATCGCCACACGCTGTCCTCCAGGAGTAAAGGTGTCAACCCAATGATCCTGAAGGACGGCGTTGCTCACCAGGTTCGTAGAGAACGAGGGGAGGTGGAGACCAGAGAGCTCACCAGACGGCACCGCCGGACACGGAAGCACAGTAGTGGACCGTGCTAGCACTGTGCCCCCAGAGGGGTCAGCCAGTGAGACAGGGACAGGTGCAGGGAGGGGA